ATTCTCACTTTCCAATGGTTTACCTACATCACATGAACTTGAAAAACATTTGGATTAGTTTCTATATTTCTGAGATTTTAAGGTATATTTAATTTAAGCCAATTTGAATAGAGGTCTCGTAAAATATTTTATATATTAATTTGGTAATACTATCCAGAGGTAGAAAAATATCACATATACATACATACATGCACACATAAACATACAGATAGACACAAATAGAGACCATCTATTTCACCTTTTATTCTGAAATTTTAGCCATGAGTTACGTAAACAGAGTAATACAAAGCTCACTGGTCTATATCTATATCATCATTGGCTCTTGTTATTGCCCCACTTCCTCTTTTTATCTGAATTGCGTTTTGACAGATGGGATAAGTTAAGGTCGCCTGCTCAATAAGACAGCTGAAGCTTTTTACCAATATTTGTGGAGGAGACTTTTAAGATTTTCTTTTGCCCTGATATGTTGTTGCTTAGCAGGGATTCCCTGACTCCCTTGAGACCCACAATCAGGACAGGGGTCTAAAGTTCAAATGACTGTAGGGAGTTGAGGGGCTGAAGTGTCAATGGTGGGCAGAGAGATGGCAAAGGGGACATGCTGAAGGGCCCAGAGAGCTGAAGGGAAGATGAAGGTGGTAAGAGGAGGAGAAAGGAGCGAAAGCAATGGGAAGGGACGAGCCTTTGAGGGGCCAATTGTAAGTCATTGAAGTTCTAGGTTATCCAGTAAATTATGCCAACAAGAAAGGAAGCAGACAGAGTTTGTGCCATTATTGTGGGATGTATAGTCAGCAGGGCTTCCGGAAGACGGTTTCCAGTCCACTGAGAAGTTCCCACGTTATTAACTAATGACTTCTCCCCAACAAAGATGCCTGGGACTCCAACGCAGTCTCAGTTTGCCTGAGTCTCTAACCCAGATTCTAAAGTAGAGGCCTACCCGAAGAACCAGGAATGCCGCCTCTCAAGGGTCAGGGAATGAATCTCTACTGAAAAGAGCCAAGAAGATGCCCATCCAGGAAGATTCTTTCTCACATAAGTACCTTTCCACCTAAGAAACCTGGGACTGTAACCCAGCCTCAGAGAGCGCACTCAGAATCTTAAGAATGAAAATGTGTCCTTCAGTGGACTATCGTCTGGAGCACTGGATTTCATCAGGAGTAGAACTCACCCATGGACTGCCCAATCCCTCAATCGGGAGTGAAGACAAAGGCTTCAAGGACACACCCTTGGAGTCCTGAGTGAGAGGTCAGGGGTGCAGTGATAAATCTGAGGCTGTCCAAGTCACAGCAACATAACTATTAAAAAAAAAAATTGGCCTGGTGCGGTGGCTCACACCTGTCATCCCAGTATTTTGGGAGGCTGAGGCAGACAGATGACTTGAGCTCAGGAATTTGCGACCAACCTGGGTAACATAACAAAACCCTGTCTCTACAACAAAATACAAAAATTAGCCAGGCATGGTGGCATGCACCTATAGTCCCAGCTACTTGGGAGGCTGAGGTCGGAGGATTACTTGAGCCTGGGAGGTTGATGCTGCAGAGAGCCCTGTTTGTGCCACTGCAACCCCCGCCTCCCAGCTTCAAGCGATTCTTCTGCCTCAGCCTCCCAAGTAGCTGGGATTACAGGCAGGCGCCACCATGTCCTGCTAATTTTAGTATTTTTAGTAAAGACGGGGCTTTCACCATGTTGGCCAGGCTGGTCTCCAACTCCTGCCCTAAAGTGATCTGCCTACCTCAGCCTCCCAAAGTGCTAAGATTACAGGCGTGAGCCACCACTCCTGGCCTAAAGACTATTCAGAGCTATTGCATAGGGGTACCCCCGCTTGTCCTTGTGATATTCAGAGTTGAGCCGGACTGCAATAGGGGAGAGGGATCCGGGTTCAACACCAAATACAAAGACAAGTACGGATTTATAGTCAAGATGCAGAGGGTGGTGAGTGGATGGAAAATTACCAAGAGGAGACATCAAAGGTAGAGGGATCCTCGCTGAACTGACTTAACAGGATTCTTGCAGAAGGCAGACCAGCAGGTCAAGATGATTAGATATCAAGGGATGGGGGATTCTTGCTAACCTGACTTAGCAGCATTTTTGTTAAAACTGGACTAGGCCGGCCAAAGACAGGGCCCAAGGACAAGAGGGGCTCAGAGAAACCTGTCTAAGGTTTATTGAAGGAGAGAGTCTTTGTCAGCTCTTTGGAGCTGACAAAGGGATTGTGGGTCATGGTGACAGTTTGCAGCTAATGTAGCCAGACCTCAGCTCTTGGGGCTGCCTAGACCCTCAGGGATCCTGGCTTACACACAGTAAGTGCTAATTTAATATAAAGTGAATTAGTTGTTTGTCCTAGGGTGAGGTTCTTAGTGCATTTTTTTTTCTTAGTTTTCTGTGCATAAATATTTTCTTAAAAACAGAAAGTGTCTTTAGAAGCACAGAATTAAATCTCTCCTGCTTTGGAGGTAAGTGCCAGTGACCCTGCTGGAGGAAGAGAGCACTCTCCTGGGAGGCAGGTGGCCAAGGTTCCACTGCAGCAGCTTTACCTGTGCTCCCAGTGTGACCTCGGGCAAGTCGCCTCCCCACCCTCAGCCCCACTTCCTCACTGTATATGGGAGCTATAATGCTGCTCCTGGCCCCTGAGGGTGGGAAGCAAATGAGGTGAGAGGCTGCTGGAGATGGAAAAGTGGTTTGCCTAAGGATGGGGCTGAATGATCTGGACTCACCCACCTGAGTTCATGGTAGATGTTTATCTGTTTATTATCTTTCCCCTTCTAGAAGAAGGTCAGCTCCATAAGGGTGGAGACCATGTGGATTGTTCACCACTTTATAGCCAAAGCCTGGAGTAGTGTGGGGCACAGAATAGGTAGTACATGCCTGTTAAGGGAAGGGAGAGAGGAGTGAAAGGAGGAGGAAGGGAGAAGGAAGGTGAATAGGAAAGAAGAGTCAAGAAGGGAGAGAGGGAGGAGTGGAGGAAGGAGGGAGGGAGGAAGGAAGATAAGAGGGAATCTGCCTCCCCTAGCTAGTGGTGCCACCCCCTTTCTTGCCACTATCCCACCTTGACCAAATTCTGACCAAGCCCTCCTCCTCTGGGATCCATGGTGACAGGCCCAGCCACCCCCCACTCCTCCCCACAAGCCAGGCTTAGCTTAAGCTCCTGCCTGGCACCCTCCCCTCCTCCCACAGTGGGTGCCTGATGGTGTTACCTGATACAGTCTGGGAGGAGGGCGAGGCCCTGGCAGCCCTGGGGCCCTCAGGCTGTGAGCAGAGGGCTGGGACCCTGCACAGCCTACTGTGCAGCCAGCCAGGCTCAGAGCCCTGCCCTGCACCCTAGCCTGGCAGGGTACTTTCCCGCAGAGAGAACAACCCAGCACCTGTGCTTGGCCCACACCCCCTCCTCGGAGGTTCCCCAGGGCCTCGGACAAGCACTGGCTGGTCTCCGAGTGCTCCTAAATGGGAGGCAGGCTCTGCCAGCACCCAGTCCTCCCTCTGGGGCCACAGCTCCTTGCCCTTCCTTGCCTTGCAGCCCCTGCAGGACAGGGCAGCCAAAGGCCAGTAAGGCCAAAGGACTCCGTTTCTCTGCATCATCATTATGTTCTGGAAGAAGTGGAGGAGTTTGATGGGGTTTGGCAAATGGCTGATAGGTTCCAAATGGCTGGGTCGCCCCCCTAAAACACAGTAGCAGAAATGTATGTAGCCTTGGCAACTAACAGATTTGGGTAAACTCGGTGACCATATAAAGGGCTGTTAAAGTGTAGCTTAGCTTCAGTTCGTGGCTCCCTGTCTGTTCTCGATGCTAAACAGCAATGTATTGTTATTTCAAATTGGCATTTAATACATTTCAATAAAATCTGATCTGTGGATGAAAGTGATAGAGCCATGCTATTACAATCCACAGGTGCTAATATACAAACAGTGGACTTCAGAACGGTGAGGTCATAGCCTGTGATTGGACAGGAAGCCAGAGGGGCCACGAAGGAAAATGCTTGGCATGTCCCTCCTCCCTTGAACTGGTTGCATTTTCTTTCAGTTTTCCTCAAAATTCAATTAAACATTTGTTGAGCATCCAAGAGATACAAGGAGGAATGACAGGTGGAGCCTGTTAAATGCGGTGTGAAATCTTCACTCCAGCAAAAGAAAGACTGACCCACTGCCCATGCCACCATGATGCCATAAATATTAGCCTATCTAGTGATGAGATTATGGGTTACTTTTCCCCCCTGGTTCACAAATTTTCTCTACAATGGAAGAATTTCATCAAGACAAGATCCAGTCCTTCTGTTTCCCAGATCTAGGATTCTCTCAATAAACACCTCTTCCACACATACCTGCCTGGGGCCAATGACATACCAGACACAATACAGTAAGAAAAGATGCATGGATCCTTGCCCTCAAGTAGCCTACATTCTAGTGGGAGGGACCGTCAAATAATAAAATCAATGCAATCATGAATCCTTTGATCAAGGGTCTGAGCTAGATAATGGGCTACAAGATCCGTATTTATCTGTGTGGTCAGGAAAGCCCTCTCTGAAGAGGTGACATTCCTGCAAGACCCAAAGTTGGGGGAGCATTTCAGCCTGGGAAATTTGCATAAGCCAAGTCCCACAGCAGGAAGGAGAAGGAAGGAGGGGTGCCTGTCTGTGATTGAAGTATGGGGTGCGGGGAGTTTGGCGAGAGAAGGGCCTTGCGGGCTATGGTGAGTAGTATAAAGTGCATGTAAGTGCCCTATGACAGGACCAGATGCCTGTTTTAAGTGGATTGCTTTGGCAGTTGTGTGGCTTTGGGCTGAAGGAGCAGGACAGGAATGGGGCAGAGAATAGTTAGGAGGTGCCTGCAGAAGTCAAGGTGAGAGGGGATAGAGGCTTGGCCAAGGGCGGCAGTGGCAGAGGTGGCAGGAAGAGGGTAGGTTCGAGCTCTATTTTAGAGACAGACTCCCTGGTGGATGGTTTGGCTGGGGGCGGGGGTGGGGGCCAGGAAGGAGTGGGAGGCAGCAAGGGTGGCGCTGAGTTTCTGGCTTGAGTACCACTCATCCTGTGTCTGCACATCCTCTAGGATGACTTGCTTCAGCACTCTACCAAAGGCCAACCTCCATCTCAGCCTCCTTCTGCCTAACAATACCCTCGGGTTCAGGAAGAGTCATTATCCTGCTTGTTCAGAAGGAGAAACTGAGGCATGCATCAGCAAACCACACTGCCCCTTAGGAAACCAATTGTATGAACCAGACAAAGAGCCAGAGCTTGAACCCCAGTGTTGCCTTGGGTCACCAGAATCACAAAGATGGAGTGTGATGTCCAGTTTTATCATATGTCAGGCAGTGAGACCTTAAACAAGTTGTGAAACCTCTCTGAGCCCCAGTTTCCTTATCAGTAAGATGGAGGAAATAACAAGATCTACCTCACCATGTGGTTGCAAGGAGTGAGGGCAGAGGCCCTCAGTCAATATTAGTATTACTCTCTGCAGATCACAGAGCTCATACATGTGTCTGCCTCTTTATGCACGTGTGTGCAGACACTCTGTATCTGTGTGTGCTTGTGGCACAAAGCTGTTTGTGTGCCTACATCACAACCCCAGCCGATGACTAGGCCCTGCTGAGGTTTCAAGTTAAGACAGTAGCATGTTTGCTTATGTGCTTCTGTTTAGCCTTCTGAGCCATGCTTGGTGGTTGAAGTAGGAGCTTTCATCCTCACTGGAACATGAGTGAGTGGTTGAGTTTGGAGCCAGCTGTGAAAGTCAGGGCAGCCTTGCCCTGTGAAGCCAGCGGGCTTCCACGTGCTCTGGCTGACCTGAACTGGGAAGGCGGGGAGCCAGAGGTAGGGGCCGAGAAGGGCTAGAGCTGGAGGAAGGGAGCTGAGGAGGAGGAGGAGGAGGAGGCCAAAGAGGGCCTAGGAAGGAACCCGGACCCAAAAGGAAATGCACACTCAGATCTGGAGTCTGGTGTACCCAGAGCCCCTTCTGTGGGTGGCTTTGGGAGCCTCCCCCAGCCCCCTCTCCCCACCCACTTCACTGAGACTGCTTTATGTTCCTGTTCCCAGGAGGCAGCTGGCACCCAGGGAGGCTGGAGCTGGTGGGGCGGCGCTCCCCACTTTGTGCCCAGAGCCATTCCAAAGGGTGTGTCCCAGCAGGGCACACACACACAGTGATTAGGGGGAGGGAGGAGTGGCATTCACTGTCCACTGCAGGACCCAGCCGGTGGGCTGGACAGCAGCCAGCTCTCCCCAGGCTCTTGGCTGCAACATCATTGGCCCTGGCACCACCCATAGCCTACCCAGACACTCCTTCCAGTCCAGGGGCTGGAGCCCTGGCTAGGAGGAGCCGCCTGGGGGTAGGCTGGGCTGGGCACCTCAACTCTGCACACCCCTCCCTGCAGCTTCCCTCCCACATCCCGCTCCAGCTGGGTTTGAAAAGGCGCTCCCATCCTTCCTCCTCTCCACATCAGGCCCTGCCCTGTACTCTGTCCTTTCAGCCGGAAGCTGTACCCATAAACTGGCTCTACCCCATAGACCCCCTCCTGTCCTCTTAACCACTGAGAGAACCCTCTGAGCCAGGCCAGCTGCTAGCTTTCCTCCGTGACTCCCCCTCTAGCCTCCACTCCCCCACCTGACATGCCCTCCTCTCCTGCTCCCTGCAGCACCATCTTCCAGGCCAGACAGCCCCACTCCTCCTGGAGCCCGGTCCCTGTGAGCCTGCCTTACTAAAAGCACTGCCCTGTTCCTTATGCACCCATGGGGTGGTGGATGCACCTTGCCCCACTGTCAAGTCCGCCTGTGCTTTATCTGCCCCACAAGATGAGAGGCTCCAAGGTTGGCACTGCACTGCACCCACGCCACCTCCACCCAGGCCATTGAGGCAAACCCTTTATGGGCACTCAGCAAACACTTCTGGATTCATACTGATTCCATCCAGGTCATGTGTTGGCACCTTTACCTCCTGGGTCTGGGAGTGGAGTGTGGAGTTATGCTTCATTGGATATTTAACTAGTGCCTTTGTGGACAAAGGGATTTGACTTCTCAGTCTTTGGCTTGGGTGTTCCGGGAGTACCTGGTTTTTGATAAAAAGCTATGGAGTCATCCAATCTTGGAAACTGTCCACCTGCTCTGATGAAGCACCCCCGCTTCTTCCCTTCAGCACCCAATTCCCTGACCTAGCAGCCTCTTCCCACCACATCCTGGCCGCCCAGCCTCTCTCTCCCCTCACGCAGCAGTCCACAGCCCTCTTTCCACAGCATGGAGGGTCTGACAGATGCATTCTAGTCCATTGTGGAGACGCCTACTCCCCTGCCTGCAGTGGTGGGTATTCACAGTTTTAGAGGGAACCACAGAGACAGACCTGACCCTTCCTGCCTTCCTGAAGCAAGTTTGCCTGCCTCTCTGGGGCAGGCTTCCTGCAGGGCATATCCCAAGAAGGAATGAATCTGTAACATTGGAATTTCAGGCAAGGGGCACCTGTTGGAGGAGATAGTTTTGTCTGTACCATCTTTCTGGGGCTCTGCAAATCACAGCCTCATCCCTGGACCTTCATGGCCAATGTACCTTTGAGATTTACTTCTGGTTTCAGGATGCTTTAAGGCTCATGGCCTGCCCAGGAAGAGTGGCAGAGGCCACGGAAGGCCAAGCACCTCATTGGACTCCTTTGTTTTGTGCTTGTTTTCCATGACACCAGGGGAAGATGATCAACAGGAAAGATTTGCTCCCCTGGCTCTCCCCTGATTTCTGAGAACAGTCAGCAGAGGTATCAAGGCGTTAATGGTTATTTCCTCCAGGTGACCAGTCAGTTCCAGGGTAAAAGAGGCCTGACAGCACCCAGCTGGCCAGAGCCTCCCAGGTGGCAGTTTTCAAGAAGGCTTGAAGGGAAGGTTTGTGTGAGGTTTGAAGGAAAGGCCTGGGAGAGGGTGTTTGGCCACACCTCTGTGATTGGTGGCTGGCCCACCCCAGTGTGGGCTGCTGGAACCTCCGGTTGGCATTTCTGAGTCAGCCTGCGTGATATGTGTTTGTTTGAGGGGAAGGGGTGTCTGTGGGTCCTACCCACAAGGTCTCATGACCCCCAGCGGAGGAGGGAGCTGCAGTTCTGTGGTTACTTCCTGCACTCCCTCTTTTTTTGTTACTTAAAGGATTGCTGTGCAGTGTTTGATTTGGTTAAGTTACACTCACGACCCTGTAAGGAGAAAACATATAATTCTAGTAATTTTATTGGGCTTAGGTTTCAGGCAAATGGAAATAAAATTGCCTCTAAAAAGACAGACACGCTGAATTGAATAAAACAATAATAATAAAAAGCCTCCCTTGCTTTGAGATAAGTGGTAAGTCATTTTATGAAGTACTACAGAAAGGGGGGGGAACCCACAAAAAACAAAACGGAGGAACCCGGGAGAAAAGAGGGGAAAAGAAAAGCAAGAAAAGCTCCTCCACCGCCCTTGCCTTTATTTCTGCTTTACCTTTTCCAAAGAACTTAATTTCGTGTCATAAAGTGAAGCGTAAAGCGCGAGTGGTGAGATCGTCCTGTCCCGCGCTTGACAGTACAGGTGGACCAAAGGGGCTCCCGGCCAAATACTTCTGGTTGGAGGGAGGGGAGGGAGTGCTCGCTCAAAACCACTCCTGGAATGGCTTAACTCGCCCAGCACGAATCAATGACAACCTCCCGCCGGCTGCGGCAGGCTCCCCCGAGCAGCGCGGCCGCGTGGATTCCCAGCCTGGGACCCTGGCGGCGCTCAGGACACTGCCCGGGCACCAGCGCGGCGTCCCCCGGGCGGCCAGGTGGGTCTGCGTCGGCCTCCGACTGCCTCGAGGCTGGGATCGGGGCTCTGGGGAGCTCAGCGGCCGGGCCGTGGGGAGGGGGTGGGGAGGAAGCCCTTCCGGGCGGCCGGGAGAGCTCGGGCGCTGCGGGCATTTTCGCTACACGCTGCGGGGACCCTGTGGCCGGGTGGCCGCGGGGCGGCTCCGGCTGGCGCGGGCGGCGGCGTCCGCAAGGCGTTCAAACCCCTGCCTCGCCGGAGCTCCTGCGGGGCGTGGGGCTGCGCACCTCCCCCGAAATAGGAGAGAGGATCTGGAACACTGCAGAGAGCAACTCTCGCCGCTGCCCCATTACCGCTGGCCCACGCCAGCGGGCTCCTTTGGGGCGAGGGGCCAGCGGAAGGAACGTAAGGGCACTCCGAGAGGGAGTTGCGGGTGTACATTGGTAGTTTAAATTGTCTCCCCCAAGAATGCTTGGTTCTCCCGAGCGTCAGATGAAAAACTTGGGGGCGGGTGGGAGGGGGGACAAAAGCCATGGCAACTTGGTTAAAGTCGAGGTCCGGCGATACGGGTGGAAATTAAAGGAGCGATTGGCAAAAGTCCAGCTCGGCGCGCGGCGGGAGTCCCGTCAGGTCCCTGGGCTTGAATCGCGGGCTGAACTGGGTGGGTGGGGGGCCCTTTCCTGAGCGCCAACCTGGGGGTGAGTGGATGGGGAGCATTCCCACCCGAGCAGGCGAGTCGAGCTGGAAGGCGAGTCTTCCAGCTCCGGAGGCGGCCCGGTGTGGGTGGCGCGTAAGTACTGACCCCGTGCGTCCCTACTCCCGCGGGCGCCCGGGCCCGCGTCACCCTCTGGAGCGCCTGAGTTCCTGCAGGCGGGTGCAGCGGCCGCAGGGCTGGGAGGAACGATGGAGAGAGCTTCCCCCCATCCCAGCACCCACAGCCCCCGCCGCCCACCCTGCGCGTAGCATCGAGCGTCGTCGGGTGCACCACTCCGTGCTCTGTGGTGAGGGCTCCGGGGTCGTTCCTTTCTGTTCCTGGCTTCCGTTGTCCCGGCTGTGTGCTGACAGGCGGGTAGGCAGCGGGCGGCTGCCTTCTTTCTTTTAATAGCTGGTACCCAGCTCCACGCAGAAGGAAGCCCCACTCCAGCGACTTACTGGTCGGCTAGTGGTAGACCACTTCCAGTTCTTCTAAATGCGGAATTTTGAAAATGGAAAGGAAGTGATTGAAACAAGCGGGCAGTTTCTCCAGATGAGATGAAGATTTTTTGGAAGGGGGAGGGGCGCGCTGGCTTGGAGGTGGTAAAGGCTCTGCCAGGTTCAAGTTTCAGCTCCACTCCCTCTGTCCCCCTTCTTTCACCCAGTTAAATCCTCTCTGGGCTTAGAAAGGCTCAGGAACCCCCACTGGGTGAAACTCTAGGAAAGGAAAGTAGCCCTAGTGCCGTCCTCCCCCTTAAGGCACAACCTGAGCTGCATAGACAAAGAACCCACTCTCCCAAAAAAGACTCGTATTAGGTCACATCAGATATGAATCATTAGCCCCACTTTGCAGATAGGGAAACTGAGGCTCAAATGGATTAAGTACATTGTCCAGGTAGTAGCAGAGGCAGGATTCAAAGCCACTCATTGTACCCCACATGTTTTAGAATCTTACACTTTAATTGGGAGACAGGAATCACCCTGGTATAATTATAGTACAACAGAAAATAGTATGTGTTACATTTAATATTAACTTTTTTTGAATGTCATTGTCTTTCCAAACAATCAGTCATTTATTCAACACTGTTGTATTGTTTACTGTATGTGTCCAGGTACCATGCTAAGTGCTGGGCATACATCAGTAAGTGAAATCAGACCGGATCTCTGGCCTCTGTCAATGGGAATAGTAGTAGTAATAGTGCAACCCTCAAAGGGTTGGATGAAGTGAGATGGAGCCCAGGAAGGAGCCTGGGAAGCATTGCTGCTGAGAAGCAGCAGCAGGAGGCCTGGATGTAGAGGAGGAGAGGGAGAAGGAAGGAGAGGAAGGAGCGGGGAAGTTAAAATAACTGGAGTCTCCATGCTGCAGTTACCAGGACTTGTCCCTGGTTCAAGGGAATGCAGTGGAGTGCATACAACACAGTCAGCCTCTGCCCCAAGTGCCCAGGAAGCCGTTTGAGCCCCTGCTGTTCAGATTATTCATTTAGGGTTTACAGTTGTGGGTTTCAAAGAGTCTGCACTTTTGCCACATGCCAGCTGGAGATGACAAGAAGCAGCTGAAACAGTTTCTGAGAGGACTGGTATCTCTTTGGATCAGTGCTGGCCAGACTGAGAACTGTCCCCGGGTGTCATCCTCCTGATGCATCTGCCCACTTCCTGGTGGCCAGGATGGCATTTTCATAGGACTCGAATTCAGCTTCAAGTGCCTGCCCTTAACCTTGGGGAGGGAAGCTTGTCCACATTCACAGGACTTGTTGGTAGCAAAGCCAAGACTAGAACCCAAGTCTCTAGACCATACATGGTTCACAGAGCAGCTCACCTTGGCCTTCTGGGGCGGTTTTAGGACTCAACTGAAAGACCCTTCATCTACTTACATCTCCACTTACAATGCCATTTCCTGAGAATCCTGTCCTCCTTCGTTTTAGCTGACCAGACATACCTGTCCTAATAGAATGGTGTTGGATGGATGTTTGAGACAGAGCAGCCATAAATAATCTGGGGCGTTTGGCCTGTTAACTCTCCTTCCATCCTGAATGGTGTAATAGGTGTAAGATAACTACCTCTAAAATTAACTATCACTTTTGTGAGGAAGGTGAACTGATAAATCTGGCCTTGAAGCTATTACCCATCTGAGTGATGCTCTGGGACTTTCCTTCCCCGGAATTGTTACTGACTCTTGCTAGAAGAATAATTTGTTTCTTCTTTTTTTTCTTAAAAAAAAAAAAAAAAAATCCTGGGTTTGAGGTCACAAGATCATATTGCATACTACCTTGATGTCGTCTGCCAGAATAAAGGCATTTTCCCCCAATATTGAGATAATCAGCTTGATAAGGGCAGTGAGCACCCGGCTGGCTGTCCCAGTGTTTACAGCAATTACACAGGTGTATAATTGCATGGGGATGTTTGTTTGCTCAGCCCTTGCTCAGCCAGGCAGCCCTACAGGTTGGGCCGGGGAGAGAGCTGTTCAGTTTATTTTCCTTTGGCTGGGAACTGTGGAGATGAATAGAGGGAGGGGAATCGGGTTGAGAGATTGTTGCCAAGAGCAATTTGGAGTCTCCTTCATATTAGTCAGAGATTGTGTTTTTCCTTTCTAAAGCCGCCTGTTTCATAGTAACTTCCATGGAGGATTTCTTTTCCATCTTGTGTGTATGTGCTTGTTAGTTTTTGTTTGATTTTTAACTTGCTGCACTTCTCATGACTTAGCAAAAAAAAAAAAAAAATAGCGTGGGGATGGGTTATGAAACAGGCCCTTTATATCATGCATTCTGCATGTTATTGCTTAATAAATTTGAATACTGATAGACCCTGAGGTATCATGATGGAGTGAAATGAGTAATTCCTTTGAAAGGAGAGTTTATCTTCAGTGGATGACTTTCAAAATTGCAGCATAATTTCACTTTCCTGCTGCACATCTTGATCCTGTGTTTAGATAAATAGGAATGCTTGCTCTCTTCTGTCATTTTCCCTTTTGTTCCATTTGGAAGGCCCCCTCCATGTAGGCCTTACTTGGAAGGGGATCAGCTAGAGTGGGCTCCCTCCACCTCATCCTCACCCATGCACCTCCCTCCTCTATGCCGGAAGCCAGCTAGTGAGAAGGAGGCTCTCCCTGTGGGTTAAGAGCTGCCCCCCAATGGTGGCTTGGCTTGTGTGTGCATGGAGCACAACAGGAAAGCGTGCATGACCACAGGCTGCCCCTCCTAGGCCAGGAACCCCAGAGCAAGCTGTAATTCATCAGTCAATAACTGAGTCCATCCACTGAACAAATTGAGTGGAGCAACTCTGAGACTCCAAACTTGAAAAATTACCTAATAATATGGTACATGATCTATGTCGGCTTTTCCAAATTAGATGCAAACCAGATGCAAATGTACATGTGACCCTCCCAAATGATATCATATAACTAACTGGACTTGGCCTTCAGGAAAATCTGTGCTGCCTACACATATGCATTGTACACGTACATGCAGGGCTATTGCTTTCTTGGCTGTGGATTCTGGCTGACAATTCTGTTAAATTGTTTCTGGAGACAACAGTTTGGTCCATTGGTTTTTCTGGAGCCACTGGAAGAGGTCACTGGAGAGATGACAGTGGTCTCAGCTCCTGTTGACACTTGCCATCCATAAGCCCTAGGGAAGTCTAGCAGAGGCTGCGTCTATTAAATAGAACCTAAGCCATAGAAACTTTTCTAATGCTTGTTTTGTTTCTGTTTTTCTTAATAAAACAGTAAATAAGATTTATTGAGATGTAATTCACATGGTATATAATCTACCCATTTAAAGTGTAAATTCAATAGTTTTTAGCATATTTGCAGGGCTGTGTAACCATTACCATTATGAGTTTTATAGTATTTGATTACTCCAAAGGAAATACTGTACCCATTAGCAGTGGCTGCCCATTTCACCCCAAGCCCCTGTCCTGGGTTACCAATAATCTACCTTTTGTCTCTATAGATCTGCCTGTTCTGGACCTTTCATATAAATAGAATCAGATAATATGTGGTCTTTTGTGACTAGTGTCTTTCAACTAACCTACCACTTTTGAGTCATTAGCTTTGTAGCATGCATTAGTACTTAATTTCTCTTTATTGCTGAATATTCCTTGTATGGATATACCATATTTTATTTACCCATTCCTAATGATATTTGCTCATCATGGGTAAGTCCATTTACCCATGATGGAGATTTAGGTTGTTTCCATATTTGGCTTTTGTAAATAATGCTGTTTTGAACAATCATTTGCAAGTTTTTGTGTGGACCCAGATTTTCATTTCTTTGGGGTATATACCTAGGAGTGGAATTGCTGGTTCATGTGGTAACTGGATAGTTACCCTTT